CTGCTGAAGAAAATGATGAGAGTAGCGAAAACTGTGAGCTTGTTTTCATTCTTTGATAGCTGACGTGATGGCTTTAACTTTTTGAGCTAGGGGTACAGTGCATGCCCTGACTTGCTATTAGGATGACAGAGTATCACAGTCCTATTTGAGATATGCGGAGGCAGTCGTATGAAGAGTGAGTGCTGTGTTTCGTGCTAAGCAGCTATTAAGAGATCTCCCGTCTTTTTGTGTTCCAGAGGCTTCCACTTAACTGTTCTTAGTGATTTCAGAGCTTAATGCTGCTTTGTTTAGTGCAGTATTACTAGGTGCAAGAAACCCTAATTCTTCTTTGTTTGGTGTTAGGAAACAAGGCACTTTTCCCTACTAGTGTTTCTCCATATTTTAGGGGGCAATAAGGTTTCCTTTTTCCCCAGTCTACCTGGTGCAAAGGTCTGTTTCTTGTCAGCTGAGTGGCTGATTTCATTCTCAAGCCAGCTCTTTAATTTCATAGCATTTTTCTTTGTAGCTTGAAAACCAGCAGGAACACTGGCTGGCACTTAACTGATGTTCTGGCAACGGTTGCTGCACAGATCCAGACCTTCTGATTGAATGATTAATATGTTAATCCCCCTTTTCAGAACTGAAGTCCAATAAAAATTGAAAAGATTTGTGAGTGTTCAGAAATATAAGGAGCTTTTAAAAGCAAGTGTTTTTCAATTAGAGAGGCAAGAATACTTCTTGTAAAGTTCTTTACTTGCATATTTAAAAGTTTATAGTGTGTTGTAAATAATAGTTGTTTAATTCAATTGAAATTATTAATCCTCGTTAAATACAACAAGCTAGTTGTGGTTTGTGGGGGGGGGCTGGTTTGGTTTGGGGTGGGTTTTTTATTTTTTTGCATTGAGGCCTGAAATTGTTCGGTCTTAACCTCTGCAGTGTATTGATGTGAGATAAATATGTGATATCTCTTTTACACAGCTATAAGTAGTTCTTCTACTGATGACAGTGATGAAGGAACAGATGAAGAAATAAAAAGTGAAGAAAGTGACATAGAAGAAAGGACAGAAATGGTATATTCATGAGCTCCTTAACAATGGAATTTGAACATCTGTATTTGAAAGTGTAAAAACTGAAGTAGATGAAATGTAGGCCATAGCTGGTTAGTTAGCTGAAATTAAGAGCATAATTTTCTTACTCCTGGTGCTTACTGTGGTTGAGTTTTTGAAAAGTATAGGTGATGTCATATTATTGTAGAATTATATTAATCTAAAAATACACACTTGTTTCTTTTCCTCTCTTTCTACACATAAGGCTTATGTGGAGAAAACGTAGCAAACTAGATTATCCAGATTTGTGGGTGCTGTAGAATTTTATTGGTCTATGCAGTTTGGTCAAATCCTAATAGCAGCAGGATCTTTCTGGCTTTTGTATTTTACTATGAAACAGGCACGTCAGCTCTGATCTTAAATTAAAATGTAGAAGATTGAGTTCAGGGAAAAAAACATTTATTTTCTCTACTTTATTGAAAAGATAATAGAGCGTAAGCAGTTGTTCTGAAGGGCTGTGGAATCTAACTGTTACTGTGTGGGTGATCTGAAGCAGCAAAAGCTAACAAATTTCTGTTAATTCTTTTCTGTTAAATGCTTAAGCAAATGCTAAATTAAGAAGAAGTTCTAAAAATAAATTTGCAGGTGACTTCAAAGCAGTATAGTTAAGTTGCTTACAGTAAGGCTACTCTCCACTTAAATGTTTACTATACTTTATATATTATATTTTTGTATGACAAAACTTGATTGATATTGTATCCTGACTACTGAAGTTCTTTTTCTCTAATTTTCATAAGCACAACCAAAACAATGTTTCTTGCACTGGTCTGTTGTAGAAAGAAGAACAAGACACTCACACAAAAAGAGACATGGAAGAAAGAGCAATAAACATAGAAATTCCTAAAGTCTTGAAAAAGAAACTTGAGGAAGACTGTTACTATATTAATAGAAGAAAGCGGGTATGAAATTAAAGATATGAAATTAACGTGCACAGCGGGGTGAGGAGGGTGTCAAAAGTAGTTCTTGCATATAACAACTCTTGGGTTTTTTTGAAGTTTATTGTAAAGGTGAGCTTAGTATAAGAAAGAATAAGGAGTGTAGGGAGCAGACTTCTCTATAGCTAAAACAGTGAGTTGTCATATTTAAGAATGTAACGTTTCAATACCCAATTGTGTTTTAGAGTGCAGATTGTTTTTTAAAGCTGGAAATGTAGTAAGGTTGATAACCTGACCATATTTTTGTTTCTCCAGATGTTTGTAAAAGATTGATAAAAAATGCTGTTTAAGGGTTCAGATTAATCACTCCTTAAATAACTTCATGCAATAGAGACTTATTAAACTAGTCCATATATTACGAGCTCCTGTTTAGCTTGGTATACTTACAAAAACAATTAGTAAGACATTAATTTGTTGTTTCTTTTTCAGCTAGTGAAGCTTCCTTGTCAGACAAATATAATAACCATCCTGGAGTCATATGTGAAACATTTTGCTATTAATGCTGCTTTTTCAGCCAATGAAAGATCTCGGCACCATCAGATGACTCCACATGCTAATATGAATCTTCATTATGTGCCACCAGAGAAGAAGTAAGTAATCTTTAGTCCAGTGCTATTGTCACCTTGCATTCTGTGTTCTGTTTCAAGGTTGTTCCACTCTTACACAGCTTTTACTGTGATAGATGTCTGTTTATGGGGCTTAAAGTGTTTGACAGATATGTATAGTGCAGTATCACTGACAAGTTGTTATCAGTGAGAAAGTCCCTATAATCTGAAAAGTCATTATGCAAAAGCATCAATTTCTCCTTTTATCGCGTAAGTTCGTGTGAATATTGTGACCCATTTTGGAAGAACGCGCTGCTGTTGTCTACATGAAGGATTTTTTGAGCGCTGAGAGAGTATCTGGTATAAGGATTCCCTGCTTAGATAAAGCTGAACAGGTTCAAATTTTATAAAGGATGAGAATTTTATACAAACACTTGTAGAGAACTCCAAGTGCAGGTGACTTTTTTTTTTAATTGACATATCTTCTGAAATCCTAGTGTCAATATGAAGGGAAACAATATGTGTAGTAATGCCAATCGTGTTTGTTAAAATTAATTTCATCTTAGTTGCTGTTTTCTCAGCAGTATATTCTTCTACCATGCTACAAATACAGTGTGCTAGCCCTGCATGTTTGCAGTGTGGGGTTTTTCTCTTTGTTTTTTTTTTTTTTCCTCCTAGGTTAAAGATTGTCAATGTTTGAGATTGCTCCTTTCTCTAACTACACTGGGGTGAAATCTTGTATTTTATTGAAGAGAAATCTTGACTTCTGTTACCATGTTCTATTTCAACATTGCAGTTACGTTATTGCTTGCAATACTTTGTTCTATGTGAATGTCTTGGTTTATACTGATGTCATTCATTATTTAGCAAATTAATGATACTTTCCTTCTTTGTAATATGATCTCCCAAACAAGAAGTTAGATGAGACATCAGAAAGATGAACAGAAGGCTGTATGCACATTATGATTTTTAAAGGCGTATGTTGAAGTGACTCAATAAAGAAGGTGCTTTGATAAGGAAAATGTGTATAATTTCAGTGATCCATTAAGCAGGAGAGATCCAGCTGACAACCTTATTGTATTGCCCTTACTGCTCTAACACAGAAGGTAATTGACCTTCTTGGATGTGGTAACATTTCTGCACATGATGGTCTCCTCGCCCAACTTATGTATTGTGTCTTTTTTTAAAAAAAAGTGCATTAGTTTTAGCAGGTGGTGTGGAATGTTAATAGGAGGTACGGAATTTTTAACATGGTCACTGTGGCAGAATGAAATTACTGTTACGATACACGTATATGCACTTGAGATGTGAGAGATGAATACTTCTCTAGCGCTGAAAGGTGTTGGAGGTGGGTTGGACTCAGTGTTCTTGGTTCTGCTTGTAACAGTGCATCTACTCGCCACCTTTGTCCTTTACACAAGCTCAAAACTGAAATTTCTAGTAGTCTCTAAATGTAAAGCTTTGGTTACCAGGAGCAGGCCTTTGGAAACTGATCTCCAATGCAAATGTATCTTGTTTTATTGGCTCACTGGATATCTCCTAAGCAGAACCTTAAATGTGTCTTAGCAGCTATAGAGCAAATTCTGCATATGCTTTTTAGACAGAGATTTAATCTATTAAGTACTATTTCTGGCAAGTACCTCTTTTTTTAGCCTAATAAACTTAGAAAAACTATATAATGCTTACATGAAAAACTAACTTTATTTACAGTAAAGTAGATTATTAATCCAGTAAATAGTAATATAACAGAATAATTGTATGATTTTGTTTGACTTTATTAAGCAGACTTAAAATTTGTGTTTGTCTGAAGTTATCCAACAGCAATCACTGTCTCTTTAAGTATGCTTTTAATACTCATCATTACTTAGCGATGAAGTCAGCATATCATAGTTAAGACATTAATGATCTGTATTAAAAGGAAATTTTCTACAACTGCACTGAAAAATTTTGACATGCTACTTTGAAATTCATATTTTTTTTTTTTTGGTAGTGTTGAGCTATGTAAAGAGATGGTGGATGGGCTGAGAATAACCTTTGACTTCACACTTCCATTAATTTTACTCTATCCATATGAACAAGCTCAATTTAAGAAAGTGACTTCATCAAAATTCTTTCTTCCCATCAAAGAAAACTCAACAAATACTAACAGGTAGGTTGGGTATACGAGTGTAATATGGCTTCTCGTGTGGAAAGTGCAATAGAATGTGGTTATGTGTTCAGAATAGGATGATTCCTGACAGACTTTGACTTTAAAATTGTCTTAATAAAATTTTGAGCTTTACTGTGAATTGTTGCCTGAATTCAGGTTCTGAATTTCTGCCTGGTTAACCTCAAAAGGAGTTTTTACTGACTAGTGTAGAATTGTGCTGCAACTTTGTGGAGGGAAAAAAAAAAACAAACAAAAAACATTGAAATGTAAATTTGTCTTCATTAACTCTTAAATTTGAAAATAAATATACTTCCAGAAAATAGTATTTAAAAGAAGGCCTCCTTGATAGTTACTGAGAGGAGACTGTTAATTTGAGTAAGTGTTTAACAATATCTGTAAAACTAGAAGGATCTCTTTTGGGGGAAGAGCCCTGATCTTTTCACTTCTGTAAAGCTGCCTTTATTTCCTAGAAATCAGGAGGAGCTTTCCCCAAGTCCTCCTCTGTTGAATCCACCAACACCTCAGTCAACCGACAGCCAGCCTACAACAGGGGAGCCAGCCACACCAAAAAGACGAAAAGCTGAACCCGAAATCCTGCAGTCACTGCGACGCTCTACACGCCACACCTCTAACTGCGACAGGTTATCAGAAAGCAGTGCTTCCCCGCAGCCTAAACGACGACATCTTGACACCCCAGCTTCTATGCTGAAGCTCTTCTTACACCTGGAAAAAAGTAGGGTTTGCTTTTTAAATTACTGCTTGAAACAAGATTTTAAGTCTTCTTTTTTAATGTCATGTGGACTGTGAACTGAATGATTGAAGTAGGAATTCATTACTCTTTGTATCAATTATTTATCTCTGAAGCTTATACCAAAGGGAAAAATACAAAGCAATATCCTCAGTACTTTGGTACTCTATTTCTCAACAGAATTCAAGGAGCTTCTTTTCTGTGAGCCTACTCTAAGATAGCATTTATAGAATTCCAGTATTTAAGACTTTAAACATTTTAGCAGCAGCCCTTAGCTATGTTTAATGGTGTATAGTTCCAATAAACAGGTAATAAAATTCACTTATTTCTTTTGTTTTTTCTTCCCTTTTGAAGAAACCCCTGTCCATAGTGGATCATCCTCACCTATAACTTTGACTCCTAGCAAAGAGGGGAGTGCGGTTTTTACTGGCTTTGAAGGCAGAAGAAACAATGAATTGAATGAGGTAACAGATTTTTGTTACTGTCCTAGATTCAGTGATTAAAGGTTTCGTTGACCTCAGAGTAGGACTGTGTAAGAAAAGGTTTTGTCTGTATTATTTATTTAATCTTTGATTTATTTTTTTTAGTTCTGCACAAACTAAATTGTTTATGGTGCTATAAAGATTTCATAACCAGCATTTTCATGTCTTATGTTTAGGTTTTGTCCTGGAAATTGATGCCAGAAAATTATCCACCAAGTGATCAACCTCCACCTCCCTCATATATCTATGGATCTCAACATTTGCTACGGATGTTTGGTAAACTGATGCAAAGATCTGTGCTGAATCAAAATTGCTTTGTTTGGTTTTGTTTGTTTTTTTTTTTTTTTTTTCTATGACTGTATCTATGTGATTTTCTGTTTACTTTATCACATTTAGTTTTATTTGTGGAGAAGTATACATTTTAATCAGGTGAAACTCTTAGACTGTTCATAAACTTGCTTATTTTGCTGTCTTTGTAAGCCTTCATTTAACAAAAGTAAACAAGCATTACTTCCAATACACTGTCAAACATCATTAAACTGAGCAGCATTTACTTTCTCAGCATGTTTCTTTTAAGTAAGGTTTTGAAAGATCACTGAGTAACTTGCAAGGAAAAGTGGAGGCTGCAAGGAGAAGAAATTTTTATGTTTTTCTTTTCTATATAGTGGATAAAAGTAATTAGAAGTTGCTTTTAAAAGAACAGGTGTAAACATTGTTTCTCTTACTTACAGTGAAGCTACCAGAGATACTGGGGAAGATGTGCTTTCCTGAGAAAAACCTGAAGGCTTTAGTAAAACACTTTGAAATGTTTCTGAGGTAATGTGACACAGTGCACTGTAGCAGTGTTTGCATCGTTACATAGATCTAAGCATTCTGGGATGGCAAGAGGTTTTCAAAATAAGATGTTCATTTTCTGTAACTGAAGAATATGATAAAATTAATATAAGAATTTAATAATTAAAAAATGGAATAAAGATTAATATAAGATTTTTGATTTTGTAATTCAAATTAAAGGGAACCTGAACTCCCTACTTAAAGTCTTAATAAACACAGTGCTGGAGAGCTGAAACATAAAAGTTAATTTGATAGTATGTATAGAATGACAAATCTGACTTGGTTAAGAAGCATGTTTTGTAAAGAAATACAAACTCTCCATTGTTATTTTTGAGAGCATAGTCTGAGAATTTTAATGCTGCATTGATATTGGCAGGAAGAGAAACTCGTGGTTTAGAACATGTTTTTCATTATGGTAGGGGTTTTTTGTGTTTTTGGGGTTTTTTTGTTTTTAAAGAAAAGTCTGTCCTAATTGAACTTCAGACAGAAAGGTTTCTCTGTTATGCAGTGCCGTGGCTTGTAGAGGAACCCAAACTCTTTCTGACCATGCCAGCTCCATGGCTGGAGTCAGTATGGTCATACTTGCACCATGATCAAGTTTGTCATTTACTCTAGTTAATGTCTCTGCATGATATTGTAGTAGTAGTTAGATATCTAGTGTGGCACTGTGTTGTGCAGCATTAATACAGTGAAAAATAAATTTGACAAGTAAAACTTAACAGGAGAAAGTGTTGTAGATGGTAAACATTTGGAACAAATGTGGAAATCCTAACTTAATTTTGGTCAAACGCTCTTTAAGTAGCCACGTACTGAAAAGATAAATAATGTGTCAGTAGCATATCAAAAGTCCTGTTAGAGATCAGGGAGATTAAAGCTTTAAAATGCTTTTACTTTGTTTATTGGAAATAAAAGGTGTCCTAAATGTCAAAGTTTCTACAATAAAAAAATTTTTTCTTGAAGCATTTAACTTTTAAGTTTTAGTGATTCCTTTTTAGATCTCTAGTTTGTTAGATCCTTATTAGTATTCAAAATATCTGTAAGTTTAACAGGACAGCATTAGTGCTTATTGTTGGAAAGCTATTTTTCCTCTGAGTGAATATTGTTTAGGATGCTTAACTCGCTGTGGATCAAATCAATTTTTATCAGACCTCTGCCTGTTTAGATTCTTCTGTGTGATCTCTTTAGCATCTTCATACCCATTCTATGGATGAGCTGTTGTGGAATGGAATAGAGGGAAGGAGGAAACGTCCCCCATTCCCTGTACAAGTAGGGGCATGATTAAACTGAAAAGTTCTAGTGGTAGTATCCATGTGTGTCTTACTTTTCCATCTCACCGTCTTGTTGAAAAGCGTAGTCATCCATAAATAGAAAAAAATAATTTAAAAAAACAAGCCCAGAAGATGTTTCCACATCAACATTTTGAGGTTGGACTGAACTGTGCTTTTGAAGCAAATCTCTCTGAAGTTCCCACTTACCGTGCTTTGTGTTGTGCTGCAGAGTGCTCTGAGTACACAAGCTGTATTCCTTTTGGAAAACACTTAACCAGAAGTGTGCTCCTGTACTAGGGGTCATTCAGCCCTCAAGACCAGACTACACCTAGTAGTACATCTCGTACAACAAAATATTCAAGGGCTGTGTATTTTTTTTCAAGTGCTTTCTAAGCCAGTGTCATGTATGTTTTCCTGATGCTGTTCTCAAGGTTCCTTTTTTATGCTGAAATAATTATTTCTGTGGTTTTGTCGGTACTGATCAAATTAAGAGCCTTCCTGAAAAAGCTTCCAAGTTACAGTTAATGCAGTTTGATCGTAGGTAACTTTGTCATAAATATTCTTCTTAGACTAGTTTCCTTTTACTAGCTATGCTGCTACTCAAGTAGGTAATATAGAAACCAGTGCAAATTGTTAGGTTTTTTCCAGCATGTATTCATGGGGTTTTAGGATGTCTTTCATTTGAGTATTTCTTTCTTTATTCCATATATCATTGAAAGTAGTCAAACAGTAACATTTTCTAGAAGCTTGTTCAGACTTGATTTTTATCACAGAAATACTTCTGCATTATCTGTTGCTCATCACGAGAGAAAACCTGAGGCTGAGGTGACATCCTGTACTAGTTCTTCAGTTTTCACATTCTGTCTTTCCTTTTTGGGATGGAAAGGATTAATGAATGTTTATTAAAAATATTTTCCATCAGTTCTGTTCTGTCTCTGGCTTCCCTTTCAAAAGGTAAGAACTGTCCTACATAGTCTGCAAATGCCACTATTAGATGACAGCAGCAAGTTTACTTAAGACTGCTTAATTTCTTTTAGTGAATTGCTCTGGAGTGACAAGCTGAAGTACTCTTCTTTGTTTTTCTAATAGCAGACAAGGCACCGAAGCTGTCTGTTCACATTAATAAAACTGTTTCTGAGTCTTTTTTGGATTCTACGTAGAGTAGTCCAAGCATAAGTAGTTTATGTATTTTTAAATAAAACTTTAATATGGTACACAACTGATTTAGTTCTGGCATAGATACTTATTTAATTTTGTGTTATGATTTTATGGCTAAAGTTTACAGTTTCATTTAACATTTGTATTAATAATCTTGTGGGCTGAGAAACTGAGACTTATTTAATATAACACTTAGTCTAGAAGCTTGTTTTATTGAGTTTACCCAGTACTTGATACATGCATTAAATTCACTTTGAGGTGCTACATGGGTAATATTTTCCAGTCATGCCCCTCAGATTGCTGCTAGACAAGATTGATCTCAGTTTTCCAGACAACATATTTTTAAGGAATCTATGAAATACATCTTTGAGTTTTATATTAACTAGAAGCTACACCCTTTGCGTTTAGTGCAGCTTTCTACAGGTGTGCACAATGAACATTTCTTCATGGAGATCAGGAAATTTAATTTCTCCGTTACAGAATTTGCAGAAGTAAAGAAAATCAGTTTCTCAAATTAAGTGGAAAGCTCTTAGTCTTCACTTCAAATTATTTAGCTGTGAAATAATTCATAATACTTTCAGAAGTATAACAGTCTGAAATGGACTGCATTGACAAACTCGCTAGTTGGTTTCACTGAACTTCATTTACAGTTTTATTTTAGTCTTCAGGAGCAAGCAGTGGAAGGTAACAGAGTAACTGGTGCCTACTAACTGGTAATTTTACTAGCAAAGGACCTCTGATTAAATCTTCATGCCTGTTAATAGTTTGTGATTGCCTTTTAACCAATTCCATTATTTCAGCCGTATTTTTAATAAAGTGGTGTCATGTTCTGTATTTTATGACTTCTGTGCATTGTGAGGTGCGTAGCACGCCTCCAGACCCTGATGAAGTGATGAGAAATGATAGGCAAGAAAGTGCCACTCTTTGTTTTGCCGTTTCCATTGCTTTGAACACAGCTTTGACTTGGAAAACTGTTTTGGTATCAGAGGGATCACTTCTCAGGACTCTTGTCCAATAAGAGATACTTAAAAATTAAGAGAATATGACATGTCTGGTTTTGGAATAGCAAGATCCATCTTTACTAAGGTAATAGCAATAAATGTAATTTGTATATTAGGAAAAAAAAGCAAACCAAAATGGTACAGCACTTCAGAAAGCCATAGGTATTTTGACTTTCATGAACTAGGGAAGAATAAGTGGTGAAATACTTCTAAAATAATGCTTCTGAAATTTCTAATACATTTTTCCAGATGAGGTCAATATGTAGTATTTCAGATTGTGGAACACTAAATGATTAATGGTCAGAAGCTTTGGTTTTGTTAAAAACCCACTGATATTTCAAACTCAGTATATCCTGTAAGTTGTCTTTTTCATTTTAGATCTCATTCTTTGCCTGATGTTTTACAAGCAGGTTGTATCTATTGTGCCACTCTGCTCCATGGGTAGAGAAGCATTTTAATACTGTTGAGTATTTTATGAGGAGGAAGCCAGATCAGAATATGACCAAGTTAGAGGGGCTGTGATAATAAAATGTGTATTTAGAAAGATGACAAGTTGTTTGAAGTAACCTTAAGAAATAGATATCTGGTTTTAATAGCATAACACTTTTGGAGTGTAGTAATTGTATTATATGTAATTGCATTGGTGAATTATGACCACTAGTCTGTGCTAATGTGCAGTTAATGAGAGGTTATTAGTGGCTTTCTGAGAATGAAAAAAAATTGAAGCATGGCACATGGTGAATGGAAAACATCTTTAGGTGAAGTTGCTTGTGATGGTGGTCCTGCTCATTGTGACTTAGTGAAGTTGCAGGATGGCCACTGATTAAAAATCACTCTTTGAAAGATCACAAAGAATGCAGTTCTGCTGCTGTTTCTTGTATTGATTAGGGCTTTTCTACTTGCCTCTCAATTTGGGGATTAACTGGTTATTTGACAGCATAGCAATTATGACATACCACAAAACTTTATGGAATTGAAACCTAAACGTGAGAAATCAAGGTTCTGAGTGTCAGTGGACAGGTGTGGGTTTAAAGGCACAAAAAGGTAAAGGAACTCTTTTTTTTTTTTTTTTTACAGTTTTGAAACACTTGGAAATGAAGGAATTTTGCTTGCATAGTGAATGTATATGCCTTATTTTAGGGTATTATTACTGTTATATATGGACTTCGCTATATTCATTGAATGTGTAGAAAGGTAACCACCATTTTGGGTCCTTTCAAACTTTTGGCACCTTTAGGTAGAAAGCTTCTTAGTCAAAGAGTACTTGGTGTTGTACAGATTCTTATTTTCAGTAGGCTTTTGTTGTCTGGTTGGTTGGCAGAATCTGCTCCTCTGTGCTTATTGTTCTTGACTAAGGCTTGATTGCTTTGCCAAAAATACTGAGACTGCGCCGTGTGGATTGCTTCTCTTTGTGCTTACCAAATCATCAGGTGCCTGGGTACTTGATTGAGGAGCATATTCCTAATCATAATAGCAGAGGTTTGGATCATGTATCTAAAGTGAGAGGTTGCCCAAAATATTTTAAGTGTTATGGTAGCTTTTTTAGAAGGCAGCT